TGCTCCTCTGAGCTGGGCTCAGGGGCCAGAGTGCTCCTCTGGCTGGGCTCAGGGGCCAGAGTGCTCCTCTGAGCTGGGCTCAGGGGCCAGAGTGCTCCTCTGGCTGGGCTCAGTAAATGGAGTGTTCCTCTTGCATGCACGAAGCCCTGGGCTCCAGCCCCAGCACCACAGGAAACTGGCGGCCATCCCAGAACTGGGAAGGCGGGGGCAGGAGGATCAGGGTCAGCTTAAGCTTCGTAAGTTGGTTCAAGGCCAACCTCAGCTGTATAGAGGCTAGGGAGACCCCGCGTAAGCATAGAACAAACCTCTTTGAGGTAGGCCCTCGCATCTCCCCGGGGCTCTCTTGGCGTCCCTAATCAAATCCCTGACTGCCCTGTCACGCAGGCTCTTTGGTGCTAGTTAGAAGGTGGTCTAAGCCTCTCTCTAGAGACAAAGCCAAATGTGCGCCCACACCGGAGAGGGACTCACCGAACACGAAGTTGTCCGGCCGGAAGATCTGGCCGAAGGGGCCAGAGCGGACGGAGTCCATGGTGCCAGGTTCCAGGTCAACCAGCACGGCTCTGGGCACATAATTTCCACCTGTGGGGATGGCAGATGGAGGAGGCTGGGATGAGCTCTGGGCCCAGCAGGCTGCAGGGCTCATCCTGCCTCTCCTTGCCAGCTCCCTCCCACCCCAAGAACATTTCCGCCTCTCTGGCTGCCCCACCTGTGGCCTCATTGTAGTAGACGCTGATCCTCTCCAGCTGGAGGTCGCTGTCCCCATGATAGGTCCCGGTGGGGTCAATGCCGTGCTCATCACTGATGACTTCCCAGAACTGGAGGATGGGTGGGGGACAGCAGAGTTCAGTAGATCTTCCTATGTTATGAGTGTGTGTGCGCGTGCACGCGTGTGCGTGCGTGTGCATTCACGCTGCAGCTTGTGTGGAGGTCAGAGGTCAATTTTCTGGAGGTGGTTATCTCCTTCCGGCATGTTCGTCCCGATGATCAAACTTGTGTTGCCAGGTTTGGCCGAAGCCCCAGAGGAACCGTGTCGCCTGCCCTATTGTTTACTTGAAGGGTTGAATAGCTTTTTTTTGACTTGCTGTCTTAAAAAAATTATTTATGACGGACAGCACACCTTTAATCCCAGCACTCAGGAGGCAGAAGCAGGCCGTTGGCTGAGTTCAAGGCCAGCCTGGTCTACAGAGAGAGTTGCGGGACAGCCAGGGCTACACAGAGTAACCCTGCCTTGCCACCCCCTCTTAAAGTTATTTCTTATTTTTTGGGTAGGATCCCCCAAAGCCCAGGCTAGCCTGAAATTCACTAGGTAGCCTAGGATGATACTGAACTCCGCTCTTCCTGCCTCCACCTCGCCAGCGGCTGGAGTGACAGGTGTGTACACAACACCGGAGCAAGGGTGACCCCTTGACCCCTGAGCTACAGCCCCAACCCCTTATATTTTTGACACAGGGTTTCATGTGGCCCAGGAGGCTGTTTTGGGGCTCTTGCCTCTACTTCCCAGAGTGCTAAGTGCTAAGAGTGGGTTACAGGGCCAGTCGGGAAACGCTGAGTGATGCTGTGTCTTGCACATCCTTGAAGCCATTTGCTTGCTGTCTGCTGGGAGGTGACGGGCAACCCAGAGCCACAGCAGAGCATGAGCCAGCAAGAAGGGGGAAGTTGGGGGTAGGGAGAGGCTGGGCCCCCCTGGAGCCACTCGGTGCCAGCCCAGCCGGGCAGCAGCCCTGGGAGGAGGGGTCGTGCCGCCTCGTGCCGGGCAGCCGAGGGTGACAGTGGCCCAGCTCTGAGGCCAGCTGTGGCCAAGGGACACAAGGCCGGGCCCTGCCCCCATCACCGGCCTCTTTGTTCCCAGCCTGGCTCTGCCCCGGCTCCCCTCCCCCACCACCCTGGGATGCAGAATTCCTGGGTGAGTCTTGCGGGAGCCGGGGACCCCTTTCCGCGCCCCTGCACACCCCCACCCGCTCCCCAGCCCGGCCCACCTTGGCCCCGATCTGGTTGCCGCATTGCCCGGCTTGCAGGTGCACGATCTCGCGCATGGCGGTGGCGCTGCTGGTGGCGGCTGGCGGACGGTGTGGACGGGCCGCGGTGGCTCCGGAGACTGGATGAGGTGGCTGCGGAGCTCTGACTCTGCGCCGCCGGGCTCCTCTATATCAGGGGAGCCGGCCCCGCGTCACGCCGGGTCGCCGCGTGCTCCGCCTCCTGGGCCTGCCGAGATGCTCTGATGCTCCTAGTGAAGGATGGAGGGATGGAGGGAAGATGAAGGGAGGGGCCTGGAGACGCAGGAACCTCCTCTGAGACCTCAGGGTCCCGGTGTACCCCCACTTCCAGCTTCCAGGCGCCACCAGAGGCTGCGCGGAGACGCTCCGCGGTGTAAACACCTGAGTTCCAGCCTCAGTGGCTCTGTCTGCTCCTCCCCTCTTCATTCCGCGAAGACCCCTGCTTCCTCAGAACCTTTGGAGAGGCCGGGGAAGGGCGGTGGCGCCTGGCTCCTGGCCCTCCAGAGGGAAGTTTGGTTTCAGGGTGCAGGTGTGTGTGTGTGTGTGTGTGTGTGTGTGTGTGTGTGTGTGTGTGTGTGATTCTGCTGGTTCAAGGAGGGCTCTTTTGGAACCGTCTAGTGTTTTCCTTTTGCGTTTGCGGGGGATGTGAGTGCAGGCTGGGGACTGTCTGCGGAGCTCTGGAGGGACCTAGAACTCCCTTGCTGGCTGCGGCTTGGGTCTCTTTTGAGCTGGGACACCCCTGGGAAGGCTTGGAGACTAACATTAGAGGGCTAAGACGCATAGCTGGACCCCACAGACGGACAGCACGCTGTGTTCCCTGCACCAACACGTCATTGATGCTTAATTAATTACAGGGTTTCTCCTATGTAGCCCAGGCTAGCCTGGAACTCACTGTATTGCCCAGGCACTCCTGACCTTCCTGCCTTTGGCCTCTGGAATGCTGGGATTATAAGACATCAGCAACACGCCTAGAACAACTTGGCGTGTGCATGAGTTTGTGTGAGCCAACGTGGGAGTCAGTGGGCATGGATGCACCCTAGTCTTTACTTCTGTCTTGTTTCAGACAGGGTCTTTCTTCTTGGCCGTGGACTGCCAGATCCCAGGAGTTCTGTTTTCCTTCCCACCCCCTGTAGGGTTTCTGAGATTACACATACTCCTTGCCGTGTTCCCGGCTTGGAGGGATTTGAACTCAGGTCCTCGTGCTTATGCAGCAAATGCTTTCACTCATCCAGCTATCTCCACAGCTCTCTCTCTCTCTCTCTCTGTCTGTCTCTTGCCCCTCCCCCATGCTCTCAACAGGGTTTCATGTAGTACAGGCTGGCTTTCCACTCAGTAAGTAGCCAAGGCTGTCCTTGAACTCATGATCCTTCCGCCTCCACCTCCTGAGCTGTCGGGTGTGCATCACCAAGTCCTGGGTTTATAGGACCTCGGGGCTAGGACTCAGGGAAAGTGCTCCAGCTCCACCGCCGCGCGCACGCTGTTTGTCCCTCATTGCAATTATGAGGTTGACAACTGGCTCCCTCGTTCCCTCTCTTTCTCCTCCTCTCTCCCTTCCTACCTTTCTCTCTTAGTCAGATTGCTTTCTCCCAGATCCACCCCCACCTCCCCAACCCTCCCGACTTCAAGCCTTCCTGTTTAGTTTGTTAGTTATTGATTTTTCTGTGCATGGGTTGTTTTGCCTGCAGGTATGTCTGTGCATTGCACGCGTGCCGCAGCGGCAGAGGCCAGAGAGGACATCAGATCCCCCGGGACTGGAGTTACAGACAGCTGCGGGCTGCCGAGTGGGTGCTGGAGATTGAATCTGGGTCCTCTGGATGGCTTAGTAGGGAGAGGTATGGCTCTGTCGATTGTGGACAGCCAGTCTTGTGCAGGCTGCCGAAGCCGCTGTGTGTTCATGGTTGCAGGACGGTTGGGCCGCCCAGAAGATGCCACTGTGGCCCTGTTAATCGTCTCCCCTCTTCCTCCATCTTCCCCATTCCGGAGCTGTTTAGGCCTGAGCACAGTCATTCCTCATCCTCAGCACTTTGAGCATCCGGGAGCTTCTGCACTCACCGTTCACGGCGCAGAGAATCTCCTGGGCTCAAGATAAGGAGCAGCACTTGTCTCAGGGTATAAACAAGCTTTTAGAAGTCAGCTAACTTCGAAGAACAACAGTTACACTCAATGATACTCAATAATACCCCCCCTCCAGCCTATGACCTCCCCAGCTGTGAGTTTCTAAACAGCTTGAAATTAAAATCCTGAAAATATGAGGCAGTAGAACTCCTGCCTAGAACCCTCAGTGAGGGGCTGGGGGCGTGGCTCAGTGGTAGAGCCCCGCTTAGAACATGCCTCTTAGTTCCATCTCCCGTACTGCAAAAAAGAAAAAAAAAAAAAAAAGATATTTACATTACATCCAATGCCCACATCTTTTTCCAAGTGCGTTATGGGAATCTGTTCAGGTTTTAAAGCAAGGAATGCTTGGCGGTGCTGGCTCACGCCAGTTGGAGTTGGGAAATGGAGGCTCAAGGAGGGCGGGGCGCCTTGCTACAGTGTGGCAACAGGGTTGCTGCTGGAAATAGGCCATGAACCGGAACACCCCAAGCCCGGGCTCTCATCCCTGGAGAACTGCTACTTTGTTGCTTAGTATTAGTCAAAACAAAACAAACTGGTGTCCAAATGGCTCACTTTTCAAGAATATAATGTTGCCAGGGTCCAACACTATCACAAAACCCCCAGCTGGGGCCTCTGCCTCCGCCTGTCACGTCTGTCCCCACGTGCTGGCTGCTGGTTGCGGGAGAGCGGCTGACTCAGCCCTGAAGCTGTGCCTCCTTGTAAGGGGCCGGGTTCTGTGCTGTGAGGTGTGGCTGCACCCGAGCACCGCTCCTCACATCCCCAGAGCTTTCTGCCAGTTCCTCACCCGGATCTTAGGCCACGACACAGCTAGGTCTCCTTTCTCTTGTCTTCCTGGCACCCTGTCTAGTGTGTGGCCCTGGCTTGGTTTGAGTCCTCTGCAGCTGTGGGGATGGGAGACGGAGGGTTCTGGACATGACCGTTGTGGGGGATGTGGGCAGGGATTCTAAGTCTAACCCAAACTGTGCCATTACTGTGGAGTGTGTGTGTGTGTGGGGGGGGGATGGTGGTGGGGCCGGGTAGGAATGTTTGCCAGGGCCATTCCATTTTTTGTGAAATTGTGACAGTCCTGACACAGTAACATAGTAATTTGGTTTCCCAGCTCCAGTGACTTCTTGTTCTAGATCGCTGCCCTTTTCACCCGTAGCTGATTCAGACAGCTGGAAGGCCAGCTCTGGCTCGCCCCCACAGGCTGCTCCTCAGTCCTGTGACTTAGAACCTCCACCTCCAAACTGGAAAGAGGGACCAGACGCTGCCATCCGGGCCCGATCTCTCCTCAGAGCCCACACTGTACTGTTGTCTGTCGTTGGGGTTAATAACTCTTAATCAGTCTCTCACCTAGAAAGAACAACCCACCCTCGAACTCTGGCCTAGTTTTAATTCTGCTGCTGCAAGAAAGTACTCTGCCCAAAACACTACTTATGGGAGAATGGGGCTTTTTTTTTTTTTTTTTTTTTGGCTTACAATTCCAGGTTATAGTTCAACGGTTGTGGAGAAGTCAAGATAGGAGCTGGTCATGTGGCATCCACAGTCACAAGCAGAGAAATGAGTGCCTTCGTGCTCATCTGCTTCTGTGCTCATGCTCAGCTGACTCCTACCTACACAGTGGGCAGGGTTGTCCCGCATCAGCTGAGGTAAGACTCCCCATAGCCAGTCCCCTAGCCCAACCTAAACAGACAGTCCCTTATTGAGACTTTCTTCCCTGGTGATTCTAGATTGCATCATCAAATTGACAATGAGTCATAATCTTCACAGACCCCGAACCAAAAGGACATGGAGTAACCTCTGGCCCGGCTCAGGGGTGTCTGGAGTAGAAGGATCCCCTGAAATGAGGACGGAGTTGGCACTGAGCTGTGTCTGCCTCCTCAGTTCCTTCCTGCAACACCAGCTAGATGCATCCAATCCCAGTGATTCCACCGTTCTTGCAATGGGAGGAGGTGGCTCTAGTGGACACACGGCCAATGGTGGGGCCACAGGTGGCTCATAGACAAGGAGGGGCTGGCCAAGTCACTAAAGATGACAGCGCTGCTCTTCACAGACCAGGGCAGACCAGGATTTCACGGATCTTCACCCTGGGCAGTGAGCACAGTTACAGGCACGGGAGGAGGGTCACGTCTCCCAGGCAGATCTTCATGGACTCTGTGTGGGATGCAGAAGGCAAGATTACCCCCAGGCAGAGATAACCTAGAACCCCTAGAACCCCTGCACAGATGTAGCCCGTGGTAGCTCAGTCTCCAAGTGGGTTCCCTAGTAATGGGAACAGGGCCTGTCTCTGACATAAACTGATTGGCCTGCTCTTTGATCTCCTCCCCCTGAGGGGGGAGCATCGTTACCAGGCCACAGAGGAAGACAATGCAGCCAGTCCTGATGAAACCTGATAAACTGGGGTCAGATGGAAGCGGAGGAGGACTTCCCCTATCAGTGGGCTTAGAGAGGAGCAGGGAGGAGATGAGGGAGGGAGGGTGGGGTTGGGAGGGAGTTAGGGAGGGGGCTACAGCAGGATACAAAGTGAATAAACTGTAATTTATAAAAATATAAATACATTTTTAAAAAGTGAAAAAAAAAACATCTAAAAAAAACCAATCACCTCCGGGGTCAAGGAGACCACGGAGATGACCAGCTTTCTGTGTCAGACAGCTTGCTCCTCCCTTCTTACGGACAAGGAGTAGAGTTTTCAGGCAAACCGGACAGAAGCCCCAACACTGAATAAACTGAATTGGCCACATACACCTGTCAACCCACTCAGAAGGTGGAGAATCAGGAGTTCAGGTCACCCTCAGCTACATGGTGGATGTGAGGAGAACCCTGTCCTTAAAAAGAGCTTGCTGGGCATAGGGGCAAAAGCTTTTAATTCTAGATCTTGGGAGGCAGAGGCAGGCAGATCTCTTAGTTCAAGGCCAGGCTGGTCTACTTGGACATTTCTAGGCTAACCAAGGAGACAAAGTGAGACCCTATCTCCTCCTCCCCTCCCCAAAGTTCTGCATGCATGTTCTGGTACAGATATGTTTGTGCCTCAATCTGTTTACAACAGTGTGGTATTGGTGTGAAAGCTGTTTGTGAGCAGGAGGTGGGGCCTGTCACCTCCTGACATCACCAAAGAGCTGTGCAGGGTGGGCATGATGTC